AACTCCCTCGACCCTCTCCAATTCTATCCGGAGACGTGAGATGCAGGCTACATCTGACTTGGCTATTGCTCCTGCTAGGTTAACACAAAATCTAATCCACCCCAAATTTATTTTTTTTATGTACCACTATTAGGACGTATTCATGAGTTGGTTTGAAAAAATTAATCAAAATACAATTAATTTAATTAGATATTACATTATTTTACACCAAAATCAAATCAAATCAATTTATCCAGTTTGATTTTTTTACCAACTTTGATTCAGTTTGATTCGATTGTTCATTTATTAATCATAAGCCAAAGTAAAAGAAACGAGTACCTTGCACACACCTTAATTGTTCCATCGAGTACCTTTTACCTCCTACCAATACATCTAGACAATATTTTTCTTTATAATTGTAGTGTCTGGACTAGCTTGTGGACACTTTGATTATTTCATGGAGTACCTTGTACCTCACATTATGCAACTTGACAATATTCTTCTTTATAACGGTAGCGTCTAGACTAGCTACCGTACACCTCGAGTATTTCATTGAGTATCTTCTACCTCCTACAAATGCGCATCTAGACAACATTTTTAGTGGGGTTTTGAAGGAGCCGGTTTGTCGGAGATGGGGTTATTATTGTTCATCTGAGATCTAGTCTGTCGAAGCTGCTTCGTCTGGGTTTGTGCGAGCTTAAAGCTCGTTGGTTCGTGATGGGTTTCACTAGAAAAGAGATGTTTGGTGGTTAACAGTGACAAGGGAGAAGAACAAAGGTGGTAAGGATGGAAGTTTGTGGTAATGGTTTAGATTGTTGTAGTGACCGGTGGTTTATGGATTGGTGGTTTGATGGTGGTTTGTGGTGTTCGGTCGGTGTGAAGGAAGAAGAAAAAGAGTTAGGCGGAATGGTGGTGGATGATTATTTGAGAAGGAAATACAATTTTTTTGGTGCCTCCTCACAAAGGGGTTGTAGTGATTAGACCCGAACGAATATTTACCAAAATCACAAGTCTACATAAAGTCATAAGACCATGTATGGGGATGACACATGTCAGTGCCAGAAAGATGGGGATGACACATGTCAGTGCCAGAAAGTTAAGGAAGTTGGTGACCTAATGACAGGGGAGCCGAGGATCGAAGCCCCGGTGAACAGCGATCCTACCTATAACGGTCCTAAGGTAGCATAATTCATTATTGGGTAAGTTTTGACCCGCACGAAAGGCGTAATGATCTGGGCACTATCTCAGAGAGAGGCTTGGTGAATAGACATACCTATGAAGATGCGGACTACCTACACCTGCACTTGGACAGAAAGACACTATGAATCTTCATTGATCCTTAGGATTGGCTTTGGGCCTTTCATGCGCAGCTTATGTAGAAGGCGACGAAGGCCTCCTTCCGGGGGGCGGGCTGAGCCATCAGTGAGATACCACTTTGGAAGGCCAACATTTTAACCTTGTGTTCTATAGGGCGTAAGCCTAAAGGGTGACAGAGGCATGCAAAGGTTTCCTTGGGCTAGACAAAGATTGGCCCTCAAGTGCAAAGGTAGAAGAGAGTTTGACTGCTAAACCCACCCGTCGAACAGGGACGAAAGTCGGCCTTAGTGATTCGATGGTGTCGAGTGGAAGGGCCATCACACGACAGATAAAAGTTACTCTAGAGATAACATACTGATCTTCCCCGATATCTCATATCGATGAAAAGGTTTGACACTTTGATGTTGGGTCTTCGCCACCTAGAGTTGTAGTATGTTCCAAAGGTTGGATTGTTTGCCCACTAAAGAGGTACGTGAGTTGGGTTCAGAACATTGTGAGATAGTTCGGTCCATATCTGGTGAGGGCGTTAGAGTGTTGAGAGGATCTTTCCATTGTACGAGAGAACAAGAAAGGACGTACCTCTAGTGTACCAGTTATCATACCCACGGTAAACGTTGGGTAGCCAAGTGCAGAGCAGATAACTGCTGAAAGCATCTTAGTAGTAAGCCCACCCCAAGAATAGTGCTCTCCTATTCCAACTTCCCCAGATCTTCCAGTAGCACAACCGAGACAATGATAGGTTCTCTGCCCTTGTGAGGATGGAGCGACATAAGTTGTTTTGTGAATTCAAGAGAAGGTCACGACGAGATGAGTCGTTTATCATTGTGATAGGTGTCAAAGTGGAAATGCAGTGATGTATGCAGCTGAGGCATCCTAACAGACTGGTAGACTTGAAAAAAAAATAATTAAACATATAAATTTTGTCGCGTAGGGCTTGCCTAATGTTGTTTACATAAGGGTGGACATGGTATGGTACATACCGAAATACCCTATCATACCAAAATTTTGAGGCTTAAGTCATCGACGGCCCCTTAAAGTTGTTCGCATAATTCACTTAGACACCTTAACTAGGACTTGTACCTATTAAAGACCTCTACTAATTCGGATTTGAACCTTTTGAACACTTTTTTGACAATCAGCCAAAGTATGAAATATGTGTAATACACTCACGATGACGTGGGAAATTGACAAATCAATGATGTACATGTGGTATTTTGACGGAAAAAAAAAGAAAAAAGAAAAAATTGAAGTTGCCATCCACCCAGCTACAGATCAAGCAACTTGTTGCAATGTCCAATGATGCATTGAGAATTTATATGAAGTAGAGACATATTTACTATCAACCATAGTCGTCGTCACCATATCCCCGTCCTCCACCATAGCCGTCGTCACCTTCAAATCCTCTTAATCCACTAATTTTTTTCAGATCATTTTTTTTAAAGTTGAAAATAGCAAATTACATATACATAAAAATTAATCAATACATGAACCTACAAAATATGAACCATTTATAATTTTAGATATCAATAAAATCATTGACTACATAATTATCTAAGCAATACACAGAGAAAGGAGAAAGGAGAAAGGAGAGGTGATTCATTTTTTTATTTTAAATCTGATTTGTTAGATATATTTTTCAATAAGAAAAAAAAATGGAAGAAGAAACAGAGTAGTCATTGTATGAATCTCTATTTTTTCGGTAAATAAGATCACAACATCCAACAAATTTAAAGAAAATGGAGAAGGAAATCGTAATGGTGTTTTCCCAGTTGAATACGATAGAGGTGAGGGGGAGGGAGAGGAAGAGGAGGCATGATAAAAGAAAAGGGTGGAAGGTGGTGGTGGCAACATCGGCGGCAACGGCAGAGATTGTACTGGTTTTGGAAGAAGTTATGGATAAGGAAGAAGAGAGAGATTTAAAAAAAAAAAAAAATACATTCTGACGCGCTGAATGGATGTGTATTACACCTTCCTTGCCATGTCAGTGAAAAGTGTCAAATAGGTACTTATTCTGAACAATAAAAGTGTTCAATAGGTACTAGTCCTAGTTGAAGTGTCTAAATGAATTATGCGGACAACTTTAAGGGGCCGCAGATGACTTAAGCCAAATTTTTAATACCATGGTTTGGACGTTATGATATTTGGTGTGGCATATGATATACAGTTTTATGTTTTTTGGTATTCAGTACAATATTTGGTACTTAGATATAACATACCGAAGTATATAGTTACGTAAATAACATATATACATTATTAAAATACTAACAAATAGGCAACCTAGTATTAGTATAAACTAAGTGTTTAGAAGTTAAAACTTTGACTACTTTATTTTGATTGAAATGTATTTGAATTGTAATTGATTAACAAAAAGAGTTGTTTGTACTTTATTTTGCATAATGAGTGATCACCCAAAGAACAAAGACAACAATAGAAATTGTGGCAACTATTATCCTCAAGTTAAAAAAAGAAAAAAAGAAAGAGAGTCATTCTTAAATTTTTCTTGGTAGAGAACACCATATAATTTGGGGAAAAGAGTAAAAAATACCCCTTAACTTTGTTTTATTAGTTGATTGCCCCTACCGTTAAAACAAAGTTATTTATACCATCGCCGTCGCTAATTTCATCATTTATACCCCTCAATTGACAGAAATCCCCAAATTGACTTAAATTAGCCCAAAATTTTAAAAAAAAGACCCATTCCATATTTTAAACCCATTGCCCCATAGTATAACCCATTCCCCTTTTACCCCTTCTTTCAAATTTTTCCATATAACCCATTTCCCTTTACCCATTAACCTCTCCTCGATTGTTCTTCATTTCGCTTACCCATTTAATGTGACTGATTGGATTAAGCAACACCCTGGTGGGGATATCCCTTTACTTAATCTTGCTGGACAAGAAGTAACTGATGCATTCATTGCTTTTCATCCAGGTACTGCTTGGAAACATCTTGATACCTTCTTTATTGGCTGTTATTTAGAAGATAATCAAGTTTTTGAGGTATCAAGGGATTATAGAAAGCTTTGTGTTGACTCTGCTAAAGCTGAATTGTTTGAGAAAAAGGGTCATGGGGTTATGTATTCATTCTGTTTTATTGAGTTTTTGCTTTTCTTGACCTTCTATGGTGTAATTTTTAGTGATAGTTTCTTGATTCATATGCTTTCTGGAGCATTGTTGGGGTTAACTTGGATGCATATTTCTTATTTGGGTCATGATTCTGGTCACTTGATTATGACAAATAAAGGGTTCAATAAAATGAAACAGATTATGTCAAACAAATTCACCATGGAAACACAAATGATTTACCGGGAAAAGGGGAATTGGTTATATGGAAAAAATTGAAAGAATGGGTAAAGGGAGAATGTGTTATACGGGTTATATTGTGGGTAGCGGGTTTAAAATATGGAACGAGTCTTTTTTTAAAAAATTGGGTTAATTTGAGTCAATTTGGGTATTTCCACAATTGAGGAGTATAAATGGTGAAATTAGTGACGACGAGGGTATAAGTAACTTTATTTTAACGGTAAAAGTATAGTCAACTAATAAAACAAAATTAAGGGATATTTTTGACCCTTTTCCCTATAATTTGAGTTTCCTAATGGTACATTTTTTCTTTTATTTATTTAGCCGAACAAAGTGGTGTATAAATTCCCATCCCTTTGAATGTTGTGTTCTTTCATTTGAGCCCAATTCCCTCTTGTCGGTCCTTAATTATTCGTCGAAACTCTGCTTGTTTTTACTTTCCTTCTTTCTTTATCTCTCTCTATATATATCTATATGTATTGACGCAGGCGGCAAGGGCATTAGAAAAAACAACAATCTTTTCTGCATCAGAAAGCCGTTTCATTTCATTTAATTTGTCGAATTCTGAGATTAATATAGTTTGAAGATCCGGTGTATGGACTATGGGCTTTTAGAAAGCAGCGGTAAGTCCCTCAATTTGCTACAATTCTTGTCTATTTATGTAAATTTAGGGTTTTGCCAATTGCCCTAAACCCTCCAGAGTTGGAACAGAAGATCAATCATATGTAATTGTGTACTCATTCTGTTTAAGATTTCATATTTTGGGTTTCCCATAAAGGGATTTGTATTCTGTAAATTTGTTCTGAAAACTATGGACAATGAAACTAGGGCTTTTCTCTTATGTTGTAAAAATGCTTTATGTTGTAAAAATGCTTTATGTTGTTTGGAATTCGTTTTTGCCTTAGTTTGAATGGTTAGGCGAGATTTTCTTATTTTTGTATGCTCGTTTTGCCTCTTTATGTGTTCAAAATAATGGTGAAGAGTGCTGATTTGAGTTGAATTTTTTGTTCTAAACTCAATACATGGAATCTTTAGTTTAAGAAAATTTGTATCAAGATATCCTGATACATCTAACTTGCTGAAAAGCAAATGTGTATCGTGACATTTTTTCTTTTTGGAAAAATCAAGTCTTTGATTTCCTACTTTTCTCTTTCATTTTCATTCCCTTGTATAGTTTCCAAGCATGAGGCCAATGGTCAATTCCCGTCCTTTTCCATTATTTTATTCTCCTTTAAAAGAGGTGGGATGGGGTTAAATCTGAGAATGCAAACTAATGGATTTTACAGCATGCTCTTCTTCACTAATGCCACTTTATCGTCTTCTTTTTCTTTCGATACTCATAGAGATAGTATTATCACCCCATTGACCATGTTATATATTCTGCCGATTGTTTACCATCTGTGGAGGTTTTATTCTGAATTAGTTGGAGAAAATAAGGCTATCTGTTCTTGCTTTCATTTTCTCTTCTCTTCTCAAGTCTAGGTTTAAATTGCGTTAATAAAAGCTATCATTTCTTCACTTAAGCGATGCGAACTGAGGAGTGATCGCTGCATGAGTTGGTGCACAAAGTGGTCCCGACAAGATCTTTCTTTTGAAGCCCAACTTTGAGAGTTAGCTTAATATCTACATTGTTGTATATTGGATGCTAAAATTAGTAAATTTAGTTGAAATTGATTATTATATTACTAAATCTTTATATGTTTGATATTTTTAATTTGACATAAATTGTGCACCTCACTTCTCCCTTCAAGTCCCATGAACCTTGTCATTTTTTTGGCAAGTTTGCTTTTAATAAACAATGGATTTAAGGAAATATGTAATAAACGCCATCTATAATTGCCCACCCATTTTTTAGGCTCCAAATCTCCTGCTTATATACTAAGTTGCTTGGACCCTGGTGCAAATATCCGACATGGATGCGGATCCAATGGTTGGATTTGGCAAAATTTTAATTTTAAGATTCGGGGTACGGATCTAGGTAGGGATATGTGTCAGTGTTACTGTTATCAAAGGCGAAAAATGCAAAAAAGCTCTAAGGTCCATTGGGACTTTAAGCGCAAAGCATAAATAGAGGGTGGACTTTAATGGAAAAAGGCGCAAAGATTATTAATTATAAGCATGAATGACAAATATATGTACAAAGAAATTGAAAAAAGATTAAGATAAAGTGAAATATCAATTGTTTAGTGTCACCTCTTCAGAAGAGTCTCATTGACAAGGATAAATATGTCTTAGGACCTTTATGACGACACTGGAGCGTACATAAAGCGAGGCGAAGCTCTCAACACGTTTTGAGCCTCGCTTCAGGGCTTAAGCGCTCCTTTGACAACACTAATATGAGTGCACTGAGATTGGGCTAAAAAATGCAAAATTATAAAAATAGAACTATAAAGATATTTTGTGGAAAACTTACATATGTTGTAGAATTCAATTTTTCATTCTCCAAGATGAGTGTTAAAAAACATAAATTAATTGTCAAAAAGCAACATGCTAATAATTAATTTAGAATCCCTCTTTTCTATGAGAAAGAAAACATTATAAATAACAAAATTGACCAAGAGAAAAAGCTAAAAAAGATTGAAGCTATGTCATTTCCCACGTCTAAAATCTGTTTTTGTTTTTTATTTAGAGAAATCAAAATCTCAATCCTCCCCAAGTTTGTCCATCGACTTTGGTCAAAGTATCAGATGTGGGTTTACTGAACCTCACAGGAATCATTCACCCACACCGTTTCCACGTGTCGTGTCGACAACAAAAATGAAGAGTCTGCGGAACTTAGGTAGCTAACGCATGAAATATTGGGGAACTGTTGGGGATGGGCTTGGCCGGAGGAGGTTGAATATAAGGCTTGCGAACTAAATTTTATGCTTTCTTGCTTAGCGGAGTTTTTTCACCGATCATGTTGTGATCGGTGTAGCAATGGAGTTTGGAAGCTTTGTGTTTGTAGTTTTGTCACCTTAAAAAATATAGAAACACTTGCAATGAAGATAGTAAAGGGAAATAAATTTTACTGTTAATCTGTTATCATCAAAATTAGAAAGTTGAGAAGATGCTAAATGCAAAATTGACTTGTGGGTGTGGGCACTTGTGACTTATCTTGTTATATTATTTGTCCATTTACTCTATTTTTTTTTTGATGATCAATATTTTCAACCATGGACTTTTTACTGCTATATCTCTTGTATACGATTATGATTACAAAAATTATTTGGAGTTCCCTTCTCTATTTCAAATGTGTCTTTCCATAATAAGTTTTCGACAATTTGACAAACTTTTTCCATTGTGACGTGCAATAAAAGACAACTTTGTTGCCCTTTAATGTCTCTTGTCACATTCTTACAGAAAAATGAGTTTTATATTTTGTATGCTTATAATGTCATCAAAAAAATATTTTGTATGCTTATTGTGTTGCTTACAGTGTCTGCCTGGGCCAATCAAAAGATGCACTATTAGCATCTCGGATATAAATCTAGGTGGGTTTGTAACCAACTCTTTGCGCTGCACACATCTAAATTTGCTCCCCTCCCTCTCCATGTAGATATCATTAAAGTAAATAGTGCAGTTAGCATTTATTTAGGTAATGTCTTACCATAATGACATATTAAGCACTTGGTTAGGTAATGTTTTACTGTAAAGACCAAATATGTTAATCAACCTTTTTACTGTGCCTGTGGAGAAGGAAGGGCTGCTAAGCATTCTTTTTAAGTAACTGATTTTACAGATTCATTTTTTGCTTAATGAAAGCTACCTCCAGTTCAATGGTGTTTTCTCTTGTTTTGCAATTAATATAGGTACTGATGATGATCAGCCTCAATCACAATATAATCGAGTCCCTGCAGGAAGTATTATAGGTGGAAACGGTAGGTCTAGTATAAGTTCAGCCCCATACCAAAGGATGTATGTTGATATGGAAGTCGAAATTCACAACCTTGAGCAGGATGCCTATGGTGCAATCCTTCGAGCTTTCAAAGCACAGTCTGATGCTCTTACATGGGTATAAAACATTTACATTCAGTGTTTTCGTTGTCTATAATTGTATAACATTCTTTTGAGAAGGCACTATGCTTTACCGAATCTGTAATATTCAGGAAAAGGAAAGCTTGATAACAGAACTCAGGAAAGAGCTGAGAGTGTCAGATGATGAGCACAGAGACCTACTGACCAAGGTCAATGCCGATAACCGTATTCATAGTATCAGGGAGTGGAGAAAGACCAATGGAAACCAACCTGTTCATGATCAACTCCCCAGTCCAACAATTTCTGGATCAAGAAAGAGGACAAAAATGTCACAATCTGTGATAATGCCACTTGGTACCCCGTTGGAGTCCTTGCACCATCAGACAATTGCAGCGAGCACGCAACCTACTACTCCAGGTGCAAAATGGGGAGCAGCACCAGGAAATGGAGGATTTAGGTCTAGACCTGTAAGTTTTCTTGATAGCTAATGAAGCTATCTTCCTATTATCAAAGGTATAGATATCGTTGGCATATCGATGTATCTTTTAACTTGTTATACATTCTATCTTCTCAATAGGGCCAGCAAGTGTTCTCCTCTTCAAGGGCTGTTCATTATCAGCAGGCTGCTCCTGGTTCTTCAAGTGCTCTTCGTTCTGGTGAACTTGCTGAAAGACCGCGCGATCCCCTGATTGGGAGAAGAGTGATGACTAGGTGGCCAGATGACAACAACTTCTACGAGGCCATTATAACTGACTACAGTGCTGTTGATGTATGTTCTGGATTTAATTAGTATGTTGGAGGTTATTCAATATATGTGCATAAATAGGGAAATGGTGCATTATCTGTCACCATACTGATGTTAAAAATGGTCATCAGAAGCTATCCTGATTTCCGAGTGTTACTTGCCTGCCAATATAGCTCTCTTTGCCTGCCAAAACTGTCCTTTTCTTTTTGAAGGGAGTGTAGTTTAAGGTTGAACTCAGACACAATGCAAGAGAGTGAGATGAATTACCTATTCTTTCAGCCTCAAGATTTAGAGAAAGGAGGAGTGAATGCAAGAGGCAATGAGTTCTCAAGATTTCCCTATGTGCTAAATTTTTTATTTGGAATGTTTTATTGTTCCTTCTCAATTTGGTTCTTCTAAATAGAACTTTTTCTACTTCGATGGAACTTATCACACTTTAGATTTTTTGCTATTGCCTTAACCTTCCTTTTCTGGGTATAGGGGGTTGAGGGCAGGGCTTGTTGAGTTAAAACTTTTCAGTGCAATCCTAATATTTTGGAAAGTTTTTTTCTTGAAACTTGATTATGTTGCTTTTAGTTTCTAATATATCTCTTAAATCAGAAGTTGCTTTAGTTGCTGGTTGTTTTAAAACTAATATAGTAGTGGATAAACAAGCAAATTATTACAATGGATATGCTGTTCCGTGAACTAAATACATGCTATTTATAAATTAGGGACCTTTAGGTCTTGCATTTCTTTTACGTTACACAAGCAAATTGCTTGTGCTGTGAATTTCAAACTTACATGACTTGCATTTTCCTTGTTTAGGGTCGGCATGCTTTGGTGTATGATATGAATACACCAAATGAAACTTGGGAATGGGTTGATCTCAAAGAGGTACTCTCGTTTGTTATTCAATTGGTTACACATTCCTGCTTCATTTGTGGTACATATGAATTTGGTGCTTTATTCTGATAAAAGTAATAATCCCTCCATTTCAGTTTTAGTTTGTTTCAAAGGAATGTCTCTTTCTATATTTGGTAACTCTCAGATTCCAGCATTCTGCATAGCTTGTTTTAGACCACATGATTCAAATGGCATTTTGGTACATTACACATATCTTTAGTTTAAGAGCACTAGATTCTTATTTTTTTAAACACCGTTGCCTAGTCAAATTAAGATACTTAAAATAGAACAAGGGGCACAACATCTTATTGAATGTTCGGGTAAAAAAAGCATGTATACAAGTGGTATACCAAAAAAAGAGAACCTACAAAAAGATATGGGTTACCTAATATTTTATACGAGGAGGAATGGTACACCAAAAGGAAGTATGGGGGAACTTAATGACACTAAGAAATGTAATTTAGAAATGCTCCCAGCACATTTCCCGAGTTGTCTCTTCCCTATTTCCTATGATTGTAGATTTGCGCTCTTTCCGGAGTTTGACCTGCCTGGTAGCACATTTTTCACCCACTATGATTACTGCAAATATTTTCTTTCCTCTTTCTCCATTTCTTCGTCTCTTTTTTCATATCATATTTCTGGTGGACATTCAGACTCTTTTACAATGGGGGAGAATCGAATGTACTTTTCAGCAGGGTTTAAGTCTTATGAAATCACTAGACTTTAATCAAGGTCTGAACTATGGTTTGATTGAGTGGAATGAAGCCGTAATTTGATGCGTAGAACCACTTTCAATGGCAAGATTATGGAGTGGATATGCTTTGTCCTTCAGGAAGCTTCTCGAGACAATGAATCTCAACCGAGAATATGGAAATCCCAGTGTCATTAAAAGCGACGAAGTGCTCGCTTTAACTGCGAAGTGACAGCCTGTCACTTTAATGCCTTGGAGCGATGCGGGAGAAGCGTGCTTTTATTTAAAGCGTGAAAAAGCTTGCTTAAGTGTTAACTAGTTTTTTATAAAAAATTCTGTAAAAATACTCACGGTAAGCTTTTCCAAACATTTCCCTCCATTGTGTGACTGCTGCGGCGACTCATGTGGCTGCCGCAACGCAACGTAATTTTCTTCTTCTCTTCTCTTCTCTTTCTGTTTCTCTGTTTTTTTTCCTGATTTGTATATCTTTCTCTGTGCTCTATTTTTTTTTGTTCTGATTTGCAATATCATCTACTTTGTGTCACGCTTCTCGCTTCCCTCGTCACTTTTTTCCACTTCTCGCTTCCCTAAACACTGGGAAAACCAAGGAGCGACATTGCTTATACTTTTGCTCAAGGGAAAGCAACAAGCATGACAGATTTATCACTATCGTTTCAGTTCGGGGAGACAACAGATCTGTGATTATTCTTCCAGAAGTTGCATTTAATGTAGGGTGGAAGGATATTGCATTTAAGATTGATAGATTCATTAAGGAAGACACAAATCTATTTATTACAAACTTCCTCAGAAAGGCAGATCCTAAAATACCACATGTAGCTACCTTAAAGATTGCAAGTGGCAGTCAAATGATCAAAAGGAAGCTCTGGTTAATACAAGCAACAGAAAAATTGTTGTAGAACGACGTAATGTTTCCATTGAGAATGGATTATATTAGCCAGATGTGTTGCCCTTTCAGAAGTGATTTGAAGGGCATGCCAACTCTTTATGATTTAAGACGATGGGTCATTTCGACTTGGAAGAACCCTTTTGGAGTGAACATCTATGAGATGACAGACTCTTTTTTCCTCTTTGAGTTTCCAAACAAACATATGGCAGAGCATGTTATGCAAGGAACATGGGCTTGGAAAAAGGAGAAAATCTTCTTGGAGTGGTGGTCGGCGATTGTTGCACGGACATTCAAGGGAAAGGTTGGACATGGATCAGAGCTATGGGGCACTTGTTACACCTCTGGTTAGAGAAAACTTCCAAAGCCATTGGAGACCAATGTGGTGGATGGCTACAAACAAAGGAGAAACATCACTGAAGAACCATCTCAAATGGGCAAGGTTGAAGATAAAAGGAGTGGGTAGTAATGTACCAACAAAAATAATAATAGAAGACAAGGGTTTGGTCTTCATCATACCTATCTGGAATGAAACTCCGATGAGGGTGGTTGTTGGAGAAAATGGTCAGATTGTTATGAGAAACCGTCAGGTAATTGAGAGCTTCAATCTACGGTGCAGGGTTGATTACTATGGTGCTGACATCGCAGATCACACGAATGCCGCAAAAGGGAAAAAATCTTATCAGATCTTCTTGGGGGAAGGAGACGCAGGCACGTGAGGGAGAGTAGTCTTTGATATTTTAAAAAGGAAAGATTTTGGGCCTTCTATTGATAGTGGGTTGACCCAATTGAAAATATTAGAGGAAGCAAATGATAAGAGTTGCAGAAACCTTACCTTTGTTGTGGGCCTATCTTTAAAGCTCCAGGCCACAAGGAAAGATTTGGGGCCAAATTGTTGTATTTTCATATGAACTAAACCCCGTTGTTTCGACCCTCTTAACACTGAAATAGAGCATATATGCAATGTTCCATTGAACACAATTTGTAGCTGGCAGTAGAGGAGTGAGGAGAAAATACACAACCTAGATATCAATTCCACATGCAATTCTCAAATAATCCAATTTTGTGGAGTAGACGACAACACAAATGATCACTTGGGGGCAAGATGCATGGAGGTAGACAATACAGAGAGAACAATTTATTGCATGTGGATCAATTTCAACAGTTGGACCAGTGGCCAATGGAGAGGATATACAACCTCTGAAAGTTCAAGTGCAAATAGCATAGGAGGAGGCTTCCCTATGGGTGAAACAAAAGATTATGCAACTCAGCAAACAGTTTGGTGTGGATTTTAGGGGTTTGAAGATGAAGTATGTATGGTCTTTGTTATTGAAGCTCGATAAAAAAGACGGGAAAAATCAATAATGCTGAACCAACATCCCCTAAACCTAGGGACCACTCTGAAGTGAAGAATCTTCTTCAATTCGGAGTTAAATTCAAAGATGGCGATCCGAGGAATAAGGGGAGGGAAGCTACTCAAGCTAGCTGTGTTTCTCAATGAAAATATACATTATCTCGTGGAATGTGAGGGGACTAAGGCCTCATTTGTTTTCATTAAGATTAAGACCTCTGAATCTGAATAAATACACGTCTGAATATTAAGATTTGCATTAAGAGCTAGGTGTCTAGATCTGAATATTCATCTGAATATTAAGATGTGATCTCCAAATCTGAACACTGAATGATTATTGTTTGTCTTCAATATCTAAATGTGCATATGAAATCAAACATTATATTAATAAAATGTTATAAAAAATTCATTTCAATAAAAAATATTACTTTTTGATTAAAAAAATATCATAATCATCAAGCATAACATAAAAAAAATCATGAATAAAAAATATTTTATAGGCACAATATAATATCAAAAAGTTCAATAAGTATGATAGATACTAGTCGAAAAATAATAAATAAGGTATCACATTATCAACACCTAACATATATTTTGGCTAATTAGAAAAACTAAAAAATTCTTATCTTTTTTCCAATAACCTTAATCCAATTCTCTAACTTGTGAACCTCTAATGTCATTCATGTTTTTTTGTAGCAGACACTTTCACAAAATATACCAACACATGTATTATATTATGGCTCTTCCCATCCAAGTCCATCTAATTTTTCCATATATTCTTCAAATGTAGGTGCACTATTTTTTTAATCAATAACTCTAGAGCAGTAATCATCTTCTCATCAATTTCCATCAGACGAATAAGTTTTTTTTCTTCCCCAAAACTTTTTTTTCCAGCTGAAACTGAAGATTGGGATGTAGAATTATTAGGAGCTCCATTATTTTTGTCACCAACTAGTTCAACAACAATAATATATCAAAGAGTCTCAATAAAATTATTGGCCTAAGATTGCCCCCAAGGCCTAGCTCAAGTGGCAGAAGGTGGAGGATTTGTGGCTTAGGTCGCAGGTTCAAGCCCCACACCATGCAAAGCGAAGTCTGGTATTTAAGTGGAGAAGGGTAGAGGGGCGGGCCCATTATCCACCGAGTTTAGAAGGCTGTGATTGGTCCAAAGGGCGGGTCACAGACGGATTTCTCGGTTATCAAAAAAATAAAATAAAAATTATTGGCCTAAGACAAAATTCTAATAAGAGACCTCAAATATGTATACATAGTTATTATTTTTAATTATGAATAGTATTTTTCACTCAAAATCCTTGAAGAAATCAATACACTAAAAATATTATTGCAACAAGTGTTCTTGACAAACAACAATACACCCTAAGAAAATTATTAATATAAAAAAAATACTTGTAAAGATTATGAAAACTTACTGGTTAAAGAGGAAAAAATTGGTGTTTGATTGAAAAAAGAGAGGAAGAAAATTTGTAGTTGAGAGAGCAAAAGTCACGCAAAGACCGAGAGAGGCGATACAATATTATTTTTTAACTTATTAAATAAGTGAATGGTGTTAAGACTCTACTACAGATTTAATCTGTTCAGAACTTTTTAGGTCCATTAAGAGGCTTTTTGAAAAAAGAAACAAATGGACTTAATGGGCTGAATCTGAATCATTCAGATTCAGACCTAAAAATCAAACACACTTAATGGGCTGAATCTGAATGATTAAGATTCAGACCTCCATTAAGTGCAAACAAATGAGGCCTAAATGATATTGATTGATAAAAGAAGGGTGATCAAATTCTAATCCATGATTGGAGGGCTGATATTTATTGTTTCCCGAAACTAAAATGGAAGGGGATTATGGTGAAGGTAGTTAAACACTCATTCAATAATATATGAGTAATAGATGGGCTGATTATGTGGGTTTGGAGGCCAATGGAAGAAGTTGATGGATCCTTATCATGTGGGACAAAAGGGTGGCTGGGGAATTAATCCACTTTGGTGTTTCTTCTATCTCCTGTAAACTCTGCTCTATGGTGGACAAC